GTTATTATCATTTTATAAATCAAAGTTACATAATGAAATGAATGACAACCTGTTTTTCTTTCATTATAATTTAGAAAAAGAAAAACACACAAAGAATATTGTTCCAATGTTTCTTTGTTTTATGCAAATACTTGTTTTAATCAACTATTAGTCAACAGTGATGTGATTATGTGTTTTTCTGTTTTATTTCTTCTTTAACTAAATTAATTACTATGGTTTAGTTTACTGTGTTTTACTATGAATATATTTAGTTATTTGTGCTTGAGTCTCAGACAAATATCTTAAGTTTCATTTTGGTTTAAATAATTCGCTTCAGTATTTCATTGAAAACCCAATTCCTTTGTCATTTAGAATTAATCCTACTAAAAGACTGAGGAAGGCACAGCCTGGCCTTGTTTTTCTATGTGCAGATGTTTACCAGAYGACTGCARTTTCTTAGACTAAACTTCAAATTCCACCTGTTACTAACACGAAATTCGAGGCCATGTCCTTTTAGTAACCTCTCCTGTAGTACTAACTCCAGGACAAGCCTCTCAGCACACAGTCACCATTTTTATTCCATATGAAGATGGGGTGTTAGAAAATATCGATACACTGAAATCCATCCATCCATCCATCCATTTTCTTCCGCCTATCCGGGGTCGGGTCGCGGTTTATAAATTATAAATATAATATATCAGGTGTATATATCAAATATATAAATATCGCGATATTTCATTTCCTGATACTGTATCGATATTCTAAAGCCCTGTATCGATTTTTAATTAAGGTTTAAAATGTCAACCTTCTTGCCAACCGTTCATTTGTATGATGTAGTTCAGCCTCTGACCACTAGTTGGCAGCAGTGAGCCAGCCATTTGGCTCCTCTACCTCTTGAGCGCCAGAGAATAAGGGACGCGTTAGCATTAGAATTTTTGGACAAAAAAATCGCAACATATCGCAATATATTGCCTTGCTTACAGTATCGCAATATATCGGGATATATCGTATCGTGACCCCTCTGTAATGATATGTATCGTATCGCCAAATTCTTGCCAATACACAGCCCTATATGAAGATGAGCTGGGTTTTCCTCCTCAGGAAACCCAGCGTTCGGTGATAAGATCTACGCTCACGAGTGAGCAGACCTTAATCCAGGTTCACAATATCACTAATCATGACCAAAACAACTAGTTTAAGACTCCACTGAGTTTTGTTTGAAAACTTCTGTGAGACGTCTTGACCCTATCGACTCTGACTCTCCGTTCGAACTGGCAGACATCAGGAGAYGCTGAAAAAAATCAAAACACAGGAGATTTTACTGGGAAGTAAGCTGAACYTKACGGGAGGTCTTGCTGACCCGGGTGAGGACTTCCTCGACCCCTGACCTGACGGTGAAGCCGTCAAAAGGTAGAGGCAGATTGTTTTGATTAAGCGTACCAGTGTCCGGCTGAATCGAATGGGAGACGCGTGTGCCCATTCCTGGCTCCTCACATATTGATTAGGGGTGCAACAATACATGCACCCGTATCGAACCGTATCAAACGGTGCTTTAGGTTCAATACACACTTGTATCGAACAATACAGATTTTTAAAATTTACTTTATCAACTTGTCTTCTGAAGATGCTCTGTGTTGAAGGATCAGTGGATCTGTGTTCGACTACTCCACCTAGGCTGCATTTTTGAGCGCAGATCCACTGAGAAACTTGCTGTTTCAGCAACATTTAATTTAAAAACTGTACTTCTGAGGTTAAACAAATGTTCATAATTAATTTAAAAAAATTACAAGTTAAAATGGGCATGAAAATTTCTCTTTTTTTGTATCGAAAAAATATCGAACCGTGAGACTAAAGTATCGAACCGAACCGAATCGTGAATTTCCTGTATCGTTGCACCCTTAATATTGATAAGCTCAAAGTTTGGACTAACACCCTCATTTCCCTCTTTTCTTACCCTCAACGTATGCCCTGTCAAAACTTAAGAAAAAGTGCTGCAAACAATGATTTATTTAAGACCTTAAGCCTGGAGTTTGTTGTTCCTGATAAAGCTGTCAAAGTAATAATTAACTCGGACGTGTGTTAGTTGTTGTAGATTTCAACTCTTTATAGGAAGTTTGATTGACCACAATAAGCTGTACATTACTAATTTATTTGATTCTGTAAATAAATCTCGTTTATTTTAGATCAACTTAAATTCCTGAGTCAAGTTCATCTTATTGTGTGGCCTCATTTTTACACAGAGAACTTGTTTTTCCTTAAACAGAAGAACCTGTGAATTTCCTCATAACTTTTGTTATGAGAAGAGTAGGTTGTACCCATACAGTATTGTTACCCAATTATCTAAAAAAAAAAAAGAAAGAAACTGCACACCTTATGAGCATGAAAACACAATTAAACTGTTTATGAAATATTTTTAAACAATATTTGAATACTGGTGTATTTACTGTGTTTATCATAGAGGACATTTTGCTGCAGTTTTGACAGTGAAAGTTTTTCTCGTGTTTAAGAAGTTATTTTAGTTGTTCAGGTTTTGCAGTTTGACGTTTCCTTTGTGTGTTGTTCGTTGGACTGCAGGCAGACCAGTTTAGCACCATGACACATTTACAACAAAGCGTACATAATGTGGTTCCACAACCAGATTTTCACTTATTTCATCCCACTGAGCTTTCACCTGAAGAATGGGTAGATTTCTTTTTTTCGTAGAACTTTAACTTGAATTTGTGGTTGAGAAAATTGTGTTTCCTGACTCCGGTTTTCAGATCTGTTATTGAGTCTGAGCAGTCATTTCTGCTCCAGAATTTTTTCAGATTTAAAATGTATTAGCTTTCTTTGATTAACAACAGAATATCTCACCTGTGCGGAGCCGTGCTCAGCACCAAGCCTCTTGCATAAATCTTGAATGCCGTCGTTGAAAATGAGCGACGGTTTCCAGGCATGCACTGTTCTGACATTTCTTTCGGCATGTTCTTACTTGAGCGCTGCTGGTATCTAACTGGTACTAACAACCCTGCCTGGTTCCTGCTGTTGCCTTGGCAGCGAGCGTCTGTACATGCAGATGGCAGATGTGATGGTGAAGGAGGGTTGGAAGGAGGCCGGTTACGAGTACGTTTGCATCGATGACTGCTGGCCCTCCCACCAGCGCGACGCCCAGGGCCGCCTGCAGGCAGATCCCGACAGATTCCCGGGGGGCATCAAGAAACTGGCTGACTATGTGAGTAGACTATGTGAGTAATGCTTATAGATATTTAAAAACAGGAACAAAGAGCTTAAATGTCAAAATATCCAGGGTAATAACGCAATAAGTCCTTCATATCACTAAAGATAAAGGGGTTCAGAATGATATTACAAAAAGCTAATTGGACAAACGCAGTAGGATTTGTCTGCTTTTTGTTAAAGCTTTCAATTTTGGGGTGCAGACTTGATTAGTATGCAGTTTTATAAAAGTTCTTTTTAAGGCATAAACCCGTGTAATTCCACTGGGTGCTGCGTTATCAGTTTTAGTGTTGCAGCAAGTCCAAATTTGTTCAAGAAGTCCTCGTTAAATAAATCTAGAAGTAAAAGTGATTCCACGGGCAGATTGCATATTCATCCTGCAGTTATTTACATAAAGGGGTGGGGGGCAGACTCAAGTCTATGGTTTAATTTAGGTGAAAGCAGCACATGGAGCAGAAATTTTTTTTTTTTCATTGAAGTTTGCTCCTGTTCAGCCGCCTCACAAAGGAGAGGAGCAGAATAATTGTGGTGGACTGATTATCTATCACACAGAGAGGAGCCCACTCAGTCAGTGAAGTATTYAGCTGTGTAACAGCACCACCTACTGGTTCAAATACAGTACAAACAAAATGGCTCTTTTTTTCCCTCCCCTGGTTTTAGGTCCACTCTAAAGGCCTGAAGCTGGGTATTTATGCAGATGTGGGGGTAAATACTTGTGCTAAATACCCCGGCAGTCTGGGCCACTACGAGACTGATGCTCAGACTTTTGCAGACTGGGATGTGGATCTGCTCAAATTTGATGGCTGCTTCTTGGATTGGACTTCGCTGGGTGAAGGTAGGGTTTTATTACAAAATTTAAACATATGTATAATCAGCCCACCATATTTATTGTTCCTCTAAAGTTTACACGAACTTAATAGACCAGGTTTAATCTAGCTTCTTATTTGTTCCTTTTAAGGCTACATAAACATGTCAAAAGCACTCAACAAAACTGGGAAAAGTATCCTGTACTCCTGTGAGTGGCCTTTGTACGAGTGGGCTTACCAAAAGGTGAGAGAAAAATTTAATTTGAGTGATGTGATTTAGTCTGACAAGCTAAAATCTTTTCTGCGCTCCCAGCCAAACTACACTGCCATCCGTGAGACATGTAACCACTGGCGCAACTCCGAGGACGTGTTCGACTCGTGGAATTCGATCAGGTCCATCCTCGATTGGACTGCTAAGCATCAGGACATCATCGTCCCCTCAGCTGGGCCTGGAGGCTGGAACGACCCTGACATGGTTCTCTCTCTAATGTTTAACTCGCAATCAGTTTATGGTCACAAAAAATTTTAGGGTCACAAACTGGCCCTAAACACTTCAGAGTCGTGCTAGGGTTTGTATTCAGTATTCTCTGAAATGAAATATGGCTGTACACTTCAGAACTTGTGGAAGTATAATAGAACACTTGACGGACAAATTATTTGAATAAAGTGCGTGCCATGTTACAAAAACAGGGAGGTGCATGACCAGGTGCCGCAACTTTGCGTGGGGCTGGTGTGTTTGCATCACTTGGCGTACACCCTTGTGTTCAAGGCACACTATAAACCTAGGTTCATATTTTTTCCATGGGCTAACGGCACTAGTTTTGCATCGATCTGATACCATCTGATATGGTCAGTGTGTCATTTACTGTAAATAAAGTTCAAAATTAAGAATGCAAAATAAATATTCTAGAGCTTAAATTACCTTATTTTGACCTGTTGTTCAGTATGTGGGAAGGAATCCTTTGATTACATTTTTTGCTTCTTAAAGAAACAAACCAAAGTATTGATTCCATGACATTAGTATTGATCCGGTACTGTTATAAACCATTGTTGGTACCAATATTCAGATCGAGCTGTTTTCCAGGTCTTTTAATATAGAGCTAAATTAGGGCTGTGAAGTTAGGTAAAAAAAAAAAATGTTTTTGGAAACTGAAAACATTTACGAGCTTGAAACATAAATATATTGATAAAACCTGCCATGCTTTAAAATTGATACTATGGCCTGCCATACGATACAGCAGCTTGCCACAAATTTAACTACATATTAATCGGTGTGTGTGAATAACATAAGCATCTTTGAGTGCCCTAAAATGCATTTTATAAGACTGGTTCATTATTATTATGATACAGTTTCTAACTTTTGTTTTTCAGTTCCAGTTATCAGTTTCACAATGAAGTAATGGCTGTCCACCCTTAACTTTACCTACCTTGTTATTTGCATTTTCAAGCCCAGTATAATTTTTTATAAAGTTTCTAGTCAAATAAACAAGCTGAATCAATGGCAAACAGCAAAATGGGTACAAATCAAACTTTATTATTCATGTAAACAAATTCTATGTTTGAAAAAGCTATTTTGCAGTAGTTGTGACATTACCTATGTATGACACTGGTCTGTTTTTCCAGCTTGTAATTGGGAACTTTGGCCTGAGTCACGACCAACAGGAGTCCCAGATGGCATTATGGGCCATCATGGCCGCCCCTCTGTTCATGTCCAATGATCTCCGGGGCATTTGCCCACGTTCCAAGGCTCTGCTGCAGAACAAACACGTTATAGAGATCAACCAGGACCCACTGGGGAAGCAGGGGTACCGCACCGCCGCGGTAGGTGCAACAYGACCCAAAGCTTTAAACACAGCTGCAGAACCTCATCTCATCAACTACACTTTTTTTGTTTTCATAGATGAATAGTTTTGAGGTGTGGGAGAGGATCATGTCCAACAACAGTCTAGCTGTTGCGGTTTTGAACCTGCAAGACATCGGTGGACCACGAAAATTTCCCATCGTCATCATCCCCAGCTGGAAGATCTGTGACCCCCGGTGCACCGTCACCCAGATCCTGCCTCAGTACAAGGAGTTCGGTGTTCAAAATGTGCAGAGCGACATCGTTTTTTCTGTGAACCCTACGGGAACAGCACTGCTGAAGATCACTGCGATCAACAGCCGCTTCAAACCATCTCACAAGCTGTTCTGGAAGAACGAGTCCATCAGACGAGATCAAACCAACACTTTGTAGCAGTCATGTTTCACACCAACACAAGTGTTTTATTGGTTATATTTTTAAGTGTTTTATTGGTTGTATTTTTTAATGCAGAGGTTCTCAAACCGGGGTCTGTGAGAGGTATCTTGGGGGTCCTCAAATTTTTTTATTAAAATGTTAATTTTGTTTTTATTTTTAAAATGCATGGAGAAAAATAAAAAACCAAAGAACAAACTTAATAAAAAGTGTATATAGTTCCATGGCATTTAGGGGTTGAAATGACAAAGTATCTTTTAAAACAGCACGGGGTTTATGAGGAGGTCCCTGGAATTTTTTTTCCGCCCTTGTAAGGGGTCCCCAGGCCCAAATGGCTTGAGAACCCCTGTTCTAATGGCTTTGGAAAATTTGTGTAAATTTAAAAGGGAACTATTTGTGGAAATGTTTTTMATCTAGATCAAATGATTGTATGTTTACACTTGCCATGTATACATGCTGAATAAATGAATGCTAAATTCTGCATTGTTGACATGCWAAACAAAACAGCCCAAAAGAAAGAAATCAAATCAATGGAACGTTTCAACATATTTATTGAAAATAGTGACAACTTCATCCAGAGGAATGACCACAGCTTAGAACTGGATGACCTGGCCCTGTGAGAAAACAGAAAAAATGAATCAAAACGCTGACAGATTAATGTTTTACTTTGAATGTTAGACACTTCTGAACTGGTCAGGTTAAAACTTTTGCCCTGTAATTAACCTGTTAATCTACATTTATTGTTTAAAAGCTCTCTAAAGTGAAACCAAAATAAAACTGCCATTCACACAGCAAAATTTGACAGTTTCTCAAGTAAAACCAAACATATTCCCACTAGACACTAAAACGTCATTTCATACTTGAGCTTTATTTATGGACATTTTGAAAATAAATTCACATGTCAACTAAAACTAGGAATGTAAAGTCAGATTAATAATGAAATTAAAAAATGATTTTTTTTTATACTGCAAGAAAAAAATCTGAATATTTAGTGCTAAATTAAAAATGTGAGCAAAAATTATAAATGTCTACTTCACACTGTGTTTGTTTACCCAATTAAACACCTGAAATGCTTTAAAATAGGTCAATAATTACAATGTTAATGCAAAATCTGTTTAGGGTTAAGTCTGTTAAGTAGGGTTAAGTGTTGATGTACTGGTTTATATTTATGCTTAAACTAGTGTTTGCAGATAAGTGTCATGTTTACATTGGAAACCTACCTGCATTTTAGAACTGCATATTAATATATTAAGAAAACGACCCAAGTAAACTCGTTCAGACTGCACTGAATGCTTTAAAACACCAGTTTACAATAAASAATCTGATCTTTACACAAAGTACTACTGGATACAACTCAATGCATTTAACACAAAAGCACATAGTTGCATCTGATTTTAAAAATGGACTTGCTACTTGAGGCTAATGGAAGCACCACAAATATGAAGGGATTTTATTTGCCCTGAAAAACACCGTATTTGCAGAACATGTTATACCAGAACGCTGACTTTCTAAAATGTGATGGTTACAACTGAACCAAACTGGTTTATTATTTGATGAAGGCAGCAAATGTGGTAACTAGTTGAATGTCAAACATGTAAAACCATCCCTATGACAATAAAAATTAATTCCATTTTAGTTGTTTTGCTCCCCTTTCAGTTCCACATGAAATGCATCCAAGTCACACACTTCCCATTAAGAAACATGTTAAAGTCCACTCAAACCCCTCCTTCGACATCCTCTGACACTGACTTCATCTTTCAGAAATGTTGTGAATTGATCTAATTTATTATTCATGTTCATCAGTGGAAACAGATTCACAACAAAATGATGCAAGTATGCATTTCAGCACCCTTTGCAACAATAGAAGTGATATATATATGTGTGTGTGTGTGTGTGTGTGTGTGTGTGTGTGTGTGTTTTACCTTTCTCTTCTTGTCACCACCCAACTCAAAGTGCTTGCACCTCTTGATGGCCAGCATTCTCTTAGATCTGCAGTTGGGTTCCACGCACTCAAGCCTCAACACAATTTTCTTTGTAGTTTTAGCCTGAAAACAAAGTTTTAGTGAGCATTGTCACTTACACTATAATTCCACAATGCTAGAAATAAACAAAACTGAGAYGGGAAGTTGAAATTACCTTTTTACGAAAAATCGGCTTCGTTTGACCGCCGTAACCGCTCTGCTTTCTGTCGTATCTCCTCTTACCTGCAAAGTAGTTGATTTTAGCCACGGGTCAGTCACTAAATACATCAACCACTCCAGCAATAATTGTTAGAAATGTATTTACCCTGTGCATAAAGGGAATCCTTCCCCTTCTTGTATTGGGTAACTTTGTGGGGCTGGTGCTTCTTGCACTTTTTGCAGTAAGTCCTGCGGGTCTTCGGGATGTTCACCTGGAACAAAACGTTAGCTGATGAAATCAATCTGAAACATTTTGACAAGGCCTTGTGAACAGAACAGTGCTTAAGGCAGCTACTACTAATGCAGAACTGTGATAACTACTAAACACAAGGACAGAATTGAAACGTACTTAAAACAGTAAAAAAGGTAACTAATTAAATAAATGACTGTTTAAAAGGTAGTAGATGTTAGCTTCCAGGCTGTGTAAATGCACCTGTTAGCATGTAGCTTCTGTACTCAAGACCGGCGTAAAACGTGACGCTTTATTCTATTTAAACGTAACAAAACAGTGCTTGAATACGACTCATTTGCGTTTCATTTAAAATATTTKGTATTCCAACGAATCATGACTACAATGCAAGTAGCACATAGCAGCATTTGACCAGCTACATTCGTTTAAATTTAACAACAAAAAAATAAACACAAACCGAATAATTCTGCTAAAGTGGCGCCCATTAAAACCTTACCAACAAATAAGAGTTGAATTATCGCATGTATGGTGCTTTAACTAGGAGGATTGAGTTCGATTTTACAAAATGAATTCGTGTAGTCTTTGCTTACCATGGTTCCCACCCGAAGCACAGGAAAAAGAGGAAGAAGGAGGCCGGAACGGAAGCACTTCTTGAAACGGAGCTCAGCGGTGAACGCTGGTGACAGCGCCGCGTTCTTCCCTCTAGCGGCGGGAGGTGGAAGTGCAGCATACCAAAAATAATAGACGGATTTCTTCAACTAATGAAAATATTTATTAACAAGTACGATTTTCAGATATGCCTGAGTATAATCAAGGTTTTGGTAGTCTCGTGATTTTCTTTTTTGGTTATTGGTMAAGTTTAAACCAGTGATTTATAGCTTTGGGGTTTTTTTTAAACAAAAAGCAGATTAGACAATCAGGATCATATTTCAGAATAGTTCTGTTCATCAAAAGTTAAAGTCATCWCTTCCACCCCTTCCCATTTTAATGTAAACATTGTACAACCTTTCAAAAATAATGTAATGTAGAAAAAGAGTTTAAACTGTTTTACCTTTAACAACAACAATAAACATGTTTTATATACGCATGATGAATACAAATCAAATAATGAAGCATGAACTTTTAAAAGTATTAAAAAAACCAAATCAGAACCTTTAGTTTTTTTTTTGTTTTGTTTTGTTTGTTTTTTTTGTTTTTTTTTGGCATCCTTTCAATTTGCTGTAAATACCTTTGTCAAAAAAAAGTTTTTTGCACACATTACTTCTACACTGCAGGTTTACCTTTTTGCCTCCATCCATAGGTAAATCAGAGATAAAATGTGCCCGGGTGTGTTTGTGTGTATATGTGTACTTGTATTTGTTACCGTTTTAGATCCGTTTCTGGTATACACACACCTACCTTTTCGAGACCAGTAGTTCTAAGATCGGTCCAKTGGAACTCTCTTTTTGGTTTGGGGTAAAGAGGTCAGGGTTAGGCTATAAAATAACTGGAAATGAACAGAAGTCAGTGAATGGTCCTAATAAGGATATAAATACAAACTTGTGTGTGTGTGTCTCTGTGTTCACTTGGTTGAATGCATTTCAATGAAACTTTCAGAAATTAATTGTTGGATTAACATCTRTATTATCATTTATATCTGCATCAAACTCTGAGCATGCCTTGTCATAGTAGTGTCTGCGTTTGTGCAGAATGTTTTAAACCACAATGGCTCCAACTCTGTCACTTCTCATCACAACATGATTAGTCTAAAACAGTGGTTCCCAAACTTTTCAGCTTTTGACTCACAAAATAACAGTAGCAGAGACCTGTGCCCCCAACTATTTTTGGATGATAAACATTTGTATCAAGTCAACAAAACCTGGGCATAGTAACAATAATTTTTATGCTACATTTATCCATTTTAAATATACCAACCTCACTCTTTTGTAACAACTAAGGCAAAAATGTAATTAATTCAGAAAATCTTTTCAGGACCCCACCTTGATGTTTCGGGACCCCACTTTGGGTCCCGACCCCAACTTTGGGAAACACTGGTCTAAAACACTGGCATGAAAGACAGCAGGTGCATTATTCTGCCTCGTTTTGTTTTTCCCCATGAGGAYAAAGTTTACATGAAACACACGGGACGAGCTCTAAGGCCCTTGCAAAAGTTATCATTGTCATCATGTTTTTATCTCTTCCTCATACAATAGTCAAATTTCCAGTGGATCAAACAAGGAATCCCTTCAGCTGAAAGCGTAAGCACACATTTTAACCAAACAAGGTCCCACGAGTAATGTTTAACCAGGCTTTCCACTTATCACCAAAACTGTCCAGAGGGCTGATATGAAAATGAGCAGGAAGAAAAAGGGGAAGTAAGCAGGGTTGATTCCTCTCAGTGGGTGTGTTTTAACTTCTTGCATCACAAACTAACAAACACTTTATGAAAAGAGAGCTACTGAGGCGAAGGTTTGTGCCACAGCTTCAGGCCTCGCAGCATCTGATGCTCGACTCTTTTCTGCTGCCTGGTAAGTGTCAACGCTCTCTGAATGCTGCGTTGTAAGGTGACAACATATTTTTAGCCCTTTTTTTATTTTCTTTGTTCGCAAAGTGAGAAACTGCAGAAGAAGACTAATAATACATACGGTCTGAAAGACTAAATTCAGAAGCAGAAGCAAGTTTTTCTGCTGATTTGTCGAAATCTGACATAGGGTAATGATTTTTTGCAAGTCGTAAAATAATTTGAATGTTTGCTTTAAAAATCTTAACTCATATTGTTAACACATTTGATGAAATATTTGTTTTCATGAAATGTGTGGAAAGTTACTACTTTTCAGAGAAATGAAAGGTTGTTTAACCCATTCCATCGTGTAGCATTAAAGATGTTAAACCACAAATCAGATACACTTTTTTAGAGCTTATGCACGATGCATTTGACCATCACACACTTTACCACCATGTTAAATTTATTTGTATTCTTAGTGTGGACATTACTAATGATAAATCTCTCTTTTTTTCATCATTTCTCCATTTTGCTCAGACTTCTTAACGCCTTAATACCACATTTAGCGCTTGTCAACTAAAACTATGGTTGTCTATGTTGTCATACTGAACAAAAGGCTCATGTTAAAAATCATTTATCAGTTTCTGTTGAGTTCTGACMCATGTAACTGCTTCCTGAGTGACACAGCTGATACCATCAGAGCACATAGGCTCGCCTGCAATCTAATTATCAGAAAGCAAGATCACACAAGTTAAAAACTGTAAAAAAAACAATTATAAATTCACGAGAAAGAAAAAATTAGGGTGAACATATTGTGTTATTTCCTTTTGTGGTTATAATGGCTACAGGAAAAAAAAAGCTCACAAGTTTGGAACTTGCTCACATTTGGGTTTTATTTTTATTGCGTTGGCAAGTGCTGCAGTGCTTTCTTCTCCCTTCATGTTTCAGTTTAACACTGATGCAACTTCCTTGTGAGTTTGTCCGTGTCAGCCATCATGAGTCAACTCTCTTTAGAAGAGATTTTTATGAAAGTCCCTTTTTTTGGTAGCCATGTTTAAAACACAGACAAGTTCAAATGCTCCGACGGCAGGAGAACAATACATTTTGTTTGTTGGAGATGTGAGGAAAAACAAAGGTGGTGACAAGTGAGAAACGAGAAAACAGTGCTTTGAGGGAAAAAGGGGAACACTTTTGCGCAGACGTGATGGCACGAACAAAGCTAACCGTTGTTGTCGCTCTGGTGTAAAGAAATGTCACGGTCCCCACATTAGAAGTATAGTGGCGCACGGTGGTGGGAACACAAGTGTCTGGTCGAGTTACAGTTCAGATGAAGGAAGTGTTTGCAGGCTGAAAATAGGCTGACGTGAGTTGCATCTGACAGAAACTGCCTGACATTGAGCACTCAGCTGTGTAACAAACAGGAGTCCACGTCTGAGGGGACACAAGGACTATTCACCCTAAAGTGCCCCAGTGTGTTGATGGGGAAACCTCTGTGGTCTGACCTTTAGTTCTGCATTGGCTGCAACCAATCACACTTCAATCATAGAATAGAATAGAATAGAATAGAATAGAATAGAATAGAATAGAATAGAATAGAATAGAATAGAATAGAATAGAATAGAATCTATTCATGCTGACATGACCTTTACAACTCATTATTATACATTCATCATTAAACAGAGGTGGAGGCCTCCGTTTTCAGTTGTCCCCCTCCTACGGCGCGGCCATTGCCAGTATCACTCCACCCCCTGTTAACAATAAGTGTTAATTAGGTGTCAACAATAGCCATGTGATGTGAGTATCAGTCACACAGAGGCAGGGCTTAAAAGCCTGAATTTTGCCTGAAACTCTCAGACTGAAGAAGTCTCTTGGAGAAGAGACAAAATGTTTTATTAGAGAAGAACCCGTCCAGAAGACCTATACAATTTTTTCTTTTTGATTTTTTACCTGGATTACTGAGATGCATCAGGAGACCTTTACAACTAAACGTTTTCAGCACTTTTTAGTTTCAAATGTAAGATGTGTCAAAATAAAACTAATTTCCAAAAGTTGTGCTCAAGTAAAAGTAGCAGTACTTCAACATATATTTACTCAGGTAAAAGTAAAAATTAGCCATCCAAGAAATTCCTCAAGTAAGACTAAAACAGTATTTAGCAAAAAACCTGATTTAATATTTTAAAATGATGTCATCAGACTGTCAAAAAATGGAAATTTGTGTGCAAAATATGGTGTTTTTAATACCAAAATGAAGAAAATTAATACAAATAAATAATATGTTAAAATAAAATAAAAATTCTAGCATAAGGAACTACTGTTTTTACCCTGTATTCACTTGACCTCAGCAGGCTCAGCAGAAAGCATTACATTGACAAAGATTGTGTACAAATAAGAGGTCTCACTCCGAAATAATTTGTTTGTGTGTCTCTCGGGTGCATTTCCGGTTAGAAACATGTTTGTTCTTCATTCAGTGAAGTTACTTACAGTGGGGAGAGTTTTACTCAAGCAAAGTAAAAAGTATGGTGTCGTAAAACTACTCCTTAAAAGTACCCCCCCCCCAAAAAAAAAAAAAAAAAAACATTACTCAAGTAACTGTAACTGAGTAAATGTAATTACTGCCCAGATCTGCATATAATGATGTTAATTAACTCTTAAAGAATGTTTTTAATAAGTTTACACAATCATTTTTTGAGCTAACACATCATATGCATTTCTGTTTTTTTTAAGGTGCAACTTTTATTTCAGTCATAACAGGGTATCGAAAACAAGACATCTCACACAGATATAGATAGAGCCAAGTTTGCCTGCTGATCTTTATTCTAGATTTTGTTTTTGAAAGTAAAGCATGCGTGAGTAAATGTGTGAAAGGTTGCTTTGTTATGAGTGGCACTTTAATTTTGACACAACGGAAGGTAAACCCATTTTATAAAGACATTTGTTTCTGGAAACAGAGCAAAAAATATATTGTTATTTTAAGCCTGTCTCTTTGTATTATTTAAAGTTAGTTTGAGAAGTTGCAGTCCTTGCCTCCATGTGAACACGTACAAAATAAACGACTAATCTTGCTTCGTTTTTCACAATTGTACTGCCTCCCAGCAGAGGTGCCTCAAAAGGTGGTATAGGGGGGCATTGGCCCTCTATATTAATCTGTTAGCTAGACAGTTTTACAAGAATAATCTGTTAGCAAAAAATCTCATAAATCAGTGGATGGATTCTAATGAAACTTTTGGAAAGTAATCATTGGATGTACATCCACAACTCAAACATTTTGGAGTCAACCCAATTTAAGATGGCCGCCACAGCTAATCAACCTTAGAGAACACAAAAATTGTGATAACTCAGTCAAGTTGAAAGACAATGAGACAAATTTTGGTGTGGTACCAGCTGAGAGTCATCCCCATTACATACTTTAAGTGCTAACGGACTTTTGTTTAAACTGAGCACATAATCAAAGAATAACCTTTCATATTTCAAGAGCAAAAAAAGACAAGCTTTAACGAGTTGAAACTGTGCTCCGTTCTTCTCATTTAGTTACATCAACAGTAAAGATAAAAAAATCAAACATCTTTTAATATCTTTGACTAGAAATTTGGTAGGTATAGTTTTMGATTCCCTCCCAATTCCAAATCCAGCTTCACCTTCAGGCCATGAAGAGCTGGACCGCAAAACAGCTGAGGAAAACAGATATGGATGCCGCAGGGGGAAATGTTGGAGACAAAGGATGTTGGCTGGCACGACGAGCTTATGCAAAAGATGGCTAATCACACACACCACATCTCTTTTTTTCTCCAGATAGTCTCACATGTCAGTGGCTCTGACTCTATGAGAAGTGAGTTGGTATTATCAAAATAAAAGTGCTGAACAAGTGTGAAGTGTAGAAAAAAATGCTTGTTCTATCGTTAGGCCTGGTGAAATGGGTGTAGCTGTTTATTGCTCTCTGTAAAGWGACCGCCGACAACGTATGAACTTTCTGTTTAGTGCAGTTCGTCAACAAACAGGTCGGGTGTTGTGCTGCTTTTTGTTTCACAAATGTTAGATTTGATCCAATTCTGGTTTTGTTGTAGAATCGTCTGGACTGAATCATGCCAGATAACATACTGGAGGAAGTCTTCGTCAAACGATCCCAGCAAAAGAAGAAAACGTCACCTTTGAACTACAAGGAGAGATGGTTTATTCTCACCCAGGAAAAGTTAGCGTACTATGACTACGATTCTGAAAAAGGGGTACGTATGGATAGCCCTTTTCTGAATGCGAATTTTATTTTGTTGTGTCTTGTATCTAGTTTTGACCGGCTCAACTGTTTTTTTTTTTTCTGACTTTAAGCAGAAGAGAAAAGGTCTRAAAGGGTCCGTCGATCTTGAAAAAGTCAAATGTGTGGAAACGGTTCTGCCGGAGCCCAACGCCCCACTGGAACGCCAGTATGCCTTCCAGGTAGTCTTCTCACAGTATTATTTACAATAAACTTAGAGAAACTAGTGAATCTTAATCCCAAATTTATCAATTAATACATAGCGTTTTAAATGCATCTTAGCTGATAGTAAAATTTATGTAGTTTTACATCTATTGTAGCATTTTTGGACGGCTCATCGTAGAAGTAGACAGACCTGTTTATTCAGCTAATTAATTGTTTCTTTATTATAAAGTAGAAGTCTTATGGAGCATTTCATGATTTATTCACTTCACTATGCTTCAGTGTATACATAGCCTGCGAGGGGACATTGGGGGAGTTTTTTCTTTTGCGTTCCCATGCAACACCTTTGCATTTGCAATACTTTTGTGTTACTTCACAAATGTTTGCATTCCCTTGCATTATTTTTTGCGTTCCCACGCAAAAGTATGTAATGTATTAACTGAATTAAACCAGACTTTTATTTTGAAATATCCAATTACCAAAACAGGATGCGTTGCCATAAGTTCAGGAATTTAAAGATATTTTTGTGATATTTTGTGGCTGCACAAAGTTAAAATGCCTGCRTATTAAATATCTTCATGCGTGTATCTGTAACATTTAATCCAAAGCTGAATTAAAGCAGTAGGCTAACTCCCATATTATGGTGAGCATGTGAATTTGTTAATAAACCAGCAGGCACAATAAATGGCTTTTGTGAGGGAACGCAAAAGAAAAAAGAAAAAAAAAATGATTGGAGCCTGTAAATGTAGGTTCTGGACATGCTGGTGATGAAAGTGTTTTTTTTTTCTTCTCAAACAAAAACTTCAAACTTCTGATAGTTTGTTTTGTGAAAGTCCATTCTTAAGAAGTGAAACTGTCTCAGTTGAAGAAGGGGTTTTCACAGTGCAGGTGTTGCCATTTTAATAAACTGAAAGGATAACAACAGAAACACACTCAAGTTTTATAAAGCTCGTGGCACATTTACAGCTCATTATTCTTGCCTTTCAACAAACTTACAAAAAAACAATGTTCTGAGTTTGGATTTCCTCACAGATCATTTACGATGAAGGGCCGTTGTACATCTTTGCAAAAAATGAGGACATTCGGACTCTGTGGCTGAAAAATTTAAAAGAATGTAAGTACGCAGTTTCACTCAGCTAATTTATCGATAGTTTGACGTGTCAGTCGCAAAAACCTGAAGGCTTTCGTGTCACATCTTTCAGCTCGTGAAACAGAAGAGCTGCGTGTCGGTGCAGATGCAAATGTCACTTTAATGTAAATGTTTTGTGAATGAGTGTCTGTTTTTGTTCTGTAGTGGTGCGCTTCAACAAAGACCTGATGCAGAAGTATCACCCTTGCTTCTGGGTGGATGGGGCGTGGCTCTGCTGCCAGCAGGAAGTTAAACAAGCTATGGGCTGCAAACCCATACTGGACCCCAAGAATGGTGAGAATAACACTTCCTTGTATTTTAAAACCTGAAACCTTGAACTTTTCAGCAATCCGAGTGCATTAACGTTAGGTATTACGACAAGTCGAAGAGCATCCAGGAAACCTCTTCCTCCAACGCCAACAGAGGTACATTAAGTCTTTTTAGAATACTATTCATATTAATCGTAAACACATTTAACCCCGTTATATGTTCAATAATCTCGTATTGTTTCAGGAAAAGGCTAGTCGGCCTTTACCTCCACAGCCTCCCGAGCCTCCTGCGCCTTCACCAAGCATGACCGTCATAGCTATGTATGATTACGTACCTACGACAGCCCAGGACCTGGAGCTGAGAAAGAACGAGGAGTACACCATCCTGGAGAAGTCTGACCTCAACTGGTGGAAAGCCCGAGACGCATACGGGTGAGAAGACCCAGACGTGAGAACAAGGATACCCACTGACCACAAAAAAAAAAAAAAATGCAAGAGCAATCAGTTTACACTGGTCTTTCACATTATTGCATTTGAATAAAATAAAAAATAAATAAAAGATACAAACTGAATTATTTGTATTGTCCCCAAAAATGCACAATTAGGCAAATAAACCAAGCTTCTGAAAGCTAGGATTTTATTTTGACAGTCCAACAGTATTGGTGTTTTGTTTCACAGAAAAGAAGGCTACATACCAAATAATTATGTCGTGGAGGCGGAAAAGGGCCTTGAAAAACACAAGTGAGTAAAAGCTTTATTGTTCCTCTCATAAATTTGTAGACCTGTGTCTTTTTTTTAACCCACTAATGTGACATTTATTTTAACAGTTGGTACAGCAAAAACATGAACCGTAGCCAAGCCGAACAGCTGCTGAAGTCTGAGGTAAACGTGCATTTTTTTTTCATCCACGACATGCATGACGTGTCTTCGCGCCCACACACGAGGAGGTGAGCAGTAATTGATTTGAAACTTGTGGGATATGTGCTGTTTCCTGTTCCAGAACAAAGATGGAGGTTTCATGGTACGGGACTCGAGCAAAGCTGGGAAATACACGGTGTCTTTGCTCACTAAGGCCAGTGGGTGAGTAACCTCAGAGGCATTAAAACACTGCTACCATTTATATAGCTGCTCCACTGCCTCCAGTCATGTGTGAATATATGAAAAGAAGAACTGTGCGTAATGAAAGCGGAAACTGCAGGCCACAGAGGACAGGGATGTAAATTATTCATGCAAAACGAGGACTAATCTTTCTGTAGAAGTTTTTTTTTTCTTTCATCTAAGACTGAGCCCATCTGTGGATAACAGCGAGGAGACACATACCTGCACATGCATGCTTGATAAACGACTGGTTCCTGTGCAGACGAAAGCCTGTTGATTTACAGTCACGCTTCTTCCTCTGTCCACAGGGAAATAACTGGAAGCTGCAGGCATTACAACATCTGCACAACCCCGCAGGGACAGTTTTACCTGGCAGAGAAGCATCACTTTAACACCATCCCGGAGCTCATCAACTATCACCAGCACAACGCCGCAGGTCAATAATGCACAGGATTATACAACATGAGGATAAAATGTGGTTGGCCAACAAACAAAAAAATATATAAATAAGATCTGGCCTTAAGAGGAAAAGGGAAATTATTTGACAAAAGGAACGTTGTGAAAGCTTACAGAAAAAATATTGAAATATATTCTTGTCCCCTTTCAGTCAGTGTAAAAATAACTTTCATGAATGTAAAATAAGTCTTCTTTAGTTTTTTTTTTTACTTTGGATCCTAAAACAAACAAAAATATATACTGTATATTTTAATTTGCATTGTGTGCAAATCTACGAGAATTTTTTTTTTTTGCAACATTATGTACGTAAAGTACATATACACAGTACGAAAAACCAGTTTAAAATCTTTAAAAACTCATAAAATTGTTACTTTTATGAAAGATTTTTGTTTGATTTTACTGAAATGATTTCACAAATCATTAAAAAAAAAGACAATATTATTATTATCATTTATTTTTTGTTGCTTAATTTTTCAGGGGCACCACGTTCTGTCTTTTATCTGAGAACCATCAAATGCCATCTACAGACTGCAAATAGTGTTCACGTATTGCTTATGTAGTTATGAGACATTACCTCAAACTCACAAAAATACAGAAACTTACAGTCWATCGCCAAAATAAACCCACAATGCTTTGCATGTACCGTAACAAACTATGGGGGGAAGGGTACTTTTACTGGTAAAATTTATAGTAAAACTACAACCAATTAATGCAACCAGTTGTGGAACCATGATAATAGTTATAAATTCATAAAAATCCCAGTCTAAAATTACCCATGAATCTTTGGGGCTTACCATTACAAACGAATGGAGGCAGATAATTTCCTCCGCCTCTGTTGAATTGAATGGTGTCCCTTATTATTATCCACCTAAAAAAAACGAATAAAAATAAAAAGMTCTCTATACTCTATATCTTTTTATTCATCCGTCAACTTTAATGCTGCTTGAACGGCAAAGTGTGTGCAAAAAGATGTTACACCACCATGAATGGCTTAATCCCAAGATATGTGGCATTCATTTTACTGGAGTCCTAAGTCACAATGGTGATTGTAAATTGCAAAAAATAACGCCTGAAAACCTCAGAGGAATACACTGAGCTCGGCTCTCAAATAATAAAAAAAGACCTGCCGTTCTAAATTCATGACCAACAGTGGAGAGGTCTGAACTTTAAATAATTTCTCAGTGAACAACTTCTTCCTACAGCCACAGTTTTCATGATACACAAATAAATTATATATATATGGGTATTTTTTATCTTCTTTCAGTCAATAATTCTGATTCTGCTGTAGACAAATGATTTTGTACCACATAAGGCAGATTAGTACCAGCTTTCTTCYATTGCTTTCCTGTGTTGTTTAAAGCTAATCGCTAATGCTAATTTWAAAAAAAGGCTATAATTCAGCTTGTTTTAGACATAGAAAGCTTGAAGCTCGTTTAGTAGTAGCTGAGAACACTAATTTTGAATGCTAAATAAAACTCAAGATGACTCCCAGAGCTAATTTTAAACAGCAATTACTCAGCTATTTTAGGATATTTTGGGCTGAAAGTTGCCACCATAGCTAACATGTAAAATCAACCAAAACTTGGCCATTTTAGCCATACTGAGGTAAAATTTAGTATGGTGGTAGCCGAGAGAAATCCCCAAAAACTATGGTTATAAAAAAACAGCACCAAGAGGCAAGCCCTTTCTAAGTTACTCCAGGATCTATTGCATTCACAGTCACCCAAGACAAAATATTGTACTTACTGTACAAAATTGGTGGTATTTAACATTAAATTAGCAAGAAATAACAAGGGAGCCAGCATTTGTGAAATTAATGTATGATTTCTTTTCATGATTTAATAAATTTGTGTGGTTATAGTTTCAATTGACATCAAACGTGTTTGTGGATTTCAAACTTTATTTGTACGAATGCATTCAGTGAAAACATTTTCTCCATGAAACATTTACTGGCACCAAAGCCTGCTAAAATACGTTTAGTCATGCAGCCTATAAATGAACAGAAAACAGGAAGCTTCCTGCAACAGAAATCATGTCCCCTTGGCCAACACAATCTGCATGCTGATACAGAAATAWCTGTTGATGTATACTTTCCTGTTTTTGAGGCTGTAGTAGATTTGCAGGATGAAGCAAACACAACAGTTCAGTGAACTTAAAAGTATAAGCTAATAACTATCACTTCAGTTTATTTATCTAGGGCCAACTTGCTACAAAAATCCAGCAAACTCAGACACGGGTTTACCGCAGCAACCAACCACAATTTTAATTTTGATCTAGAATTTTAAAGCAGCCCTGCCGTTTATGTTTTAAAGGCAAACAGAAAAAGAAGCACATAGTTGTCTTTTTGTGTATCTGTCATGTCAGTCTCACTGTCAAGCTATCGTGATTGTGATTTTCTGCCTCCAGGTATGGTTAGCAGGCTGAAACACATTGTGTCTAATCGACCAAGGCCTCCATCAACAGCAGGGCTTGGCTATGGTAAGTTTATCATTTTTTTAGGTGAATTACCTCCGATGACAGCAATTTTTATATGTCATATCTCTGCTTTATTGTACAAATGACAAATACCCCAACATATTTATTATGCATTAATGGTGTTTTAGTGTAGCATGATAGAGTTGAAGTATTAATTTGAGATCTCATAAAATATAAGAAACTGTCAAAGTTGACCACATTTTTAGTGATAAATTCTCTTCCGTCGTTAATCTGAATTAACCACTTACTCTTTTTTCGGTTCTCAGAGTCCTGACAGCTATCAGTCTTCACATCTCTCAGCGAAACCATCAAAACATTACTCTGATCTATTTGACACGTACACTGCAAATATAAATGGGCTTATCTTTCTGCTTTCATTTGTCCAGGTGTGTGGGAGATCGACCCCCGCGACCTCACGTTCATCAAGGAGTTGGGTAATGGCCAGTTTGGGGTGGTGAAGTACGGAAAGTGGCAGGGCCAGCACGATGTGGCCATAAAGATGATTAAAGAGGGCTCCATGTCAGAAGATGATTTCATAGAAGAAGCCAAAATTATGATGTAAGCACGACTAAAGTTCAACTTTCCATATCAGCTGAATCTGAACTGATGCCCAAAAGTTGCAAAACTGATAGTTCCCATACTGTCTACAGAAAAACAACTTCACTTCCTTCTTTTTTGTTCTCAAACCAGGAAGCTTCGGCATGAGAACCTGGTACAGCTGTACGGGGTCTGTACCAAACAGAGACCAATTTATATAGTGACTGAGTTCCTTGCAAACGGCTGCCTGCTGTCGTACCTCAAAGAGGGCCTGACGCAGCATCCCACGCCGGTCCAGCTTCTTGAGATGTGTAAAGACGTGGCCGAGGGCATGACTTACCTTGAGGAACACCAGTACATTCACAGGGACCTGGTGAGAGCCAAACGTCTAACTATGTGACGGTGCAAAACAAATCCCACCACATTCCTGGTGGAATGAAAACCTGTATAAAGGTTTATTGATTACGCTGGAACCAAACATGCTGTTTGTTTTAACTTCAGGCTGCCAGGAACTGTTTAGTAGACGCAAATGGAACCGTCAAAGTGACTGACTTTGGTCTGTCAAGGTAAAACATTTAAAGTACCGGTAAACTTTAGTTAATTTTAAAGTCATGTTGTATCAGCAGTTAGTACCTTATCAGCCATGACATCAATCACAGGGCACTGAGTATAAAGAAAGAGGCAAAAGTCTTTGTCCAGAATAGGTTAATGACTAGCTGAATGAGGACTTTTTCCCCCCCTTTTAGAATTTTGCCCATTTATTAAACAGCTCTTTCTCAGAAATGACCTACCAGTGTGAAAGAATGCGACACATGCTAAACATCTACACTTTTGCATTGACCAAATGCATGTGCATCCAATCAGAGTCGAAAAGTAACTAAGTACAAATACTCTGTTACTGTGCTTAAGCAGAGTTTTTGGGGATCTGTACTTTACTTGAGTAATTATTTTTCAGCCTATTTTTTACTTCTACTCCTTTCACACAGTCATCTGTACTTTCTAGTACAGATAGTAGTAGTTTTTTTGTAGTTTTCTGTACTTACATTTTAAAAAAAGGAAACAAGTAGAAAGTTGTTACTTTTATTTCAGTTTTGCTTGTTTTCATTCCAGCTTGTAAAAAATAAATACTATCCATATAAATTGAGCCTCCTAGATAGAGTGAATTTAATTGTGGTTGAATGAGAAGTATAAATATATGAAATTCTGATACCGTATTAGTTTGTACACATACAAATCMTGTCACACTCCAGCAGGACATAATCATTAAAATAAAAGGACTGTACTTAAGAAGTATTTATACTTCATGAATTATATTATTGCATTTGTCCACAGCCCTCGCATAGATTTTAATTTTGGAGAAAAGTTTTGGGCAGCCTTTATTTATATATATAAACTGAAACAGCTAGACTAGTGCATCCTAAATTTATAAATTAAACATTATTTTAAAACGATATAGTCATTTCTGCATTTTTTTTTAATTTTTTGTGTGGGGAGGTCACCTCCTAATAAATGTCATTACAGAAAATCTTAACTGCTCATTTTAAATCAATACTTTTACTTTTAATACTTAAGTACAAAAATATCAGGTACTTTAATACTTTTACTCAAGTAATACTCCTAAAGGAGACTTTAACTTTTACCAAAGTTGCTTTTTTTGGTAAGATACTTGTACTTTTACTCAAATATCACTTTGTGTTACTTTACACAACACTGCATCCAGTCTGGGTCATTGTGTGTTCAGATACACTCAGCTACTTTCAACTGAGAGTGAATACCAACTGAAAGTAACTGGGAGTCTTTCTTTTGCGCCAGCCTTTTTGTTGACTTTTACATTAATTTTTTTGTTGTTGTTTTTGTTGCTGAGAACAGTTGAAACATAGGTAGATCATGAACACTGTTATTAATGTATTTTAACCGTCCATCAGTAGGCATGAATACATCTAAATCACAATGCATTGCAAAACACTGACWATGAGTACGCACATTAAAAATAGTAAAAAGGTCAATGACAGACACTGTTTTCTCAGCTGAATAACATTTGTGTAATTATTCAAATGYATCAGTCTGCGAGTTAAGTAAACTTTTGAACTGACTCAGAGCAGGTGATCAGGTGAACTGATTCAGCCTTTTTACAACGGGGGTGTCCAACTCAGTTACACAAGAGGGGCCAACATTCAAAACTTGATTTAAGCCAACGACCATACAAATTCTGTCAATATTTATTGAAGAAATGGTTTATAACAAATTATTCTTATTATGCTTACAAATTACCTTGTTCAGATTGTTTTATGTAGCATTTAAAACATACATAACAAGGGATGAGACAATGGCTCTTTCAGGGGATCTTGATAAACTGTTCAARAGATTCGAACTGTTTGAGGACATCACATCTCTTGCTGTTTTCTTACTAAAATCAAAGATTACTGAATCTACCTTTTTCTTGGCTTGAGAGTTGTCCAGCTGTCAAGAGAGGAATACACTAATAAAACAAACTATTTCACATTTAAAGTATTACCTTTGGGGCCGGATAAAAGGTTAACGAGGGCCAGATTTGGTCCACAGGCCTTGAGTTTGACAYGTGTGCTGCATCATCAGCATATAACGCTTAACACATTAACACAGACATGTTAGTCAAGAAAACTGTGACAAACAATACAAAGTCATACAAAAGTGTAGAAGCTCAATATTAGCATTCTTTAAAACCATTATGTTGGTTTTGAGAAAGAGTTGTTTTATAAGCCTGAAAACTGGTCATTTGGTTTGCCATTAGTCTGACCTTTTACCTTTTCTTTCATTCTCCATGATCTATGACTGATGTCATGGCTGATAAGGTATTAATTACTAATAAATATTTTAACTATAATTCCTCTTTTGTACTTAGATACGTTTTAGACGATGAGTACACAAGTTCAGCAGGCTCAAAGTTCCCAGTTCGCTGGTCACCACCAGAGGTTCTTCTGTACTGCAAATTCAGTAGCAAGTCAGACATCTGGGCCTATGGTGAGAATCCGTTTACATTTTCTTTATTTGTTCTTATTTCCTGTAAACTGTGCACATTTCAGAATGTCTACAGTTATGACTTTGTAAATTGTGATTTTACATGTCATCTATGCTGTAACAGGGGTTTTAATGTGGGAGGTGTACACTCTGGGTAAACTTCCATACGAACGTTTCAACAACACGGAAATAGTGGATCAGGTGGCCCGGGGCTATCGTCTCTTCCGCCCCCAGCTGGCTAATGAAAAGGTCTACAACATAATGCAAAGCTGTTGGGCTGATGTAAGTATTTATACTGTATTACATTGTGCAATTTAAATACCTTTTTTTTTTTTTTGTTAAATCCGGTCTAATATATTCCTTTTGCTTATTTTTCAGAAACCGGATGAGAGGCCCACCTTTCAGGAGTTGGCACTGAATGTTCAGGATTTGCTTTATGAACTCCAATAGACCTGAGAAAGAAGAGGGACACTCAAACATTGCACTCTGATAGGCAGAGAAAAACATCTGTGCATGAACCTGAAATGTTAAAATGTTATTAAAACTGCTAACACAATGAATGTGGGAATGGAGGCCTTTACGGGGTTGTTTGTAATGTGAATAAATGTAATGTGATCATACACATTTGTAAGCCCTTATATCGCAGTAACAGAAATGCAGTCCTATTTAGCATAATCACAATTTGTATATTTCAGAAAGTGGGAGGATTAAAACGTGACTATTGTTTTCTGTGTATGATATGCTGTCGAATTGTGTAATATTGATACTTTGAAATTGTAAGCTATTGTGTTGCACAAATAAAAGCCAAGTATGTAGGGCTTTGAAATGTCTAATAAATGTGCTATTAAACTGTGAAACAAAAATGCGCACTACAAAAAAAAAAAACAGAAACACTTTTTAAAAAAATAACAGCCACATTGTTTCGCTTTATTATTATTATTATTATTATTATTTTAAATGACATTTAAAACGGATTTTATTTGATAAAGTTACGTAAGCACAAACGCGCTCGACGATTGGCTGAACTACTTCCTGCTTCCTGTCGTTCATTCTAGCACGTGAAGGTCAGTGAAAATAGCCAAACGGGCGGCGAAATTACAATAAATATTGTAATTTATTGTAATTTCCATCAGTTCTGGGGAAGTATGGAAGGCCAGGGAGTGACAGCTAATCCCCAGCTTCAACGTTTTATGGAAATAGAGTCTCAGAAACAAAGATTTCAGCAGCTGGTGCATCAGATGACTGAGGTTTGCTGGGTAAGAAAATCTGCATGTTGGTGGTACTGGTTCTGCAGTTGAGCTGATCATGCATTAATTCTGCTCGTAGCTGATGACTTGTCACTACTAGTGTGCTACTAGTGTGCCGTGTAATGCACACAGAACTACGGATGCGTGTTTTGCTCGTAGTAATACGATGTGAAGAAGTTTGTAAAAAAAAAAAAGAACTTGTTTCTCATTCTTGCACACAGTTCTTACGCTAACTAAATGTAAACTTGAATGCTCTTACACTGCTGTAAGTTGTCATCTCTAAAAGTATTTATGTACCTTCTTCTGCACATAAAAAGTTTAATAAACAGACTTCCTGTTGGACAACTGCTGTCCCTGGCCTGAAAAGAAGCTAGCAGTGTAGCATCTCAGTTAGGAGCCGGGTGAGACGCCGGAATTAAAATATTAAATTTGACAATGAGTTTTTTTTTTCTTTTAAGAAACGCAATTTGTTCCATCAAACACATGACAAATTATTTCTCTCTCTCTCTCCTTTTTTTTTTTTTTTTGCTTAATGGCCGCTTTAAAATGCCACTCGTTTTCATGCTATGGTGTTGTGCCAAAAGTGTACACCAACTCCTGTGAAAAGCCCCCCTGGTGGGAAGTGAACTTCAATGCACTTCTTTTTTAATAAATCACTAGTAAAATATTATCGTATGACCTCAAAACACATTCTTATTCAGAAAATGTATTTTGACTTGTACAATTATTTACCAAAATATATCTAGAAGATAAAAACAATGTGAATTTTGTAGTTGTAACCTTTTTGGGTTCAGAGTAGGCACGGCCTTTTATTTCAAAAACCTACTGTAAAAAAATTATATACATCATTATGAAATAATTTTAGTTAGTTTGTTACTTTTGATATTTACTCAATAATAAAAATGCGCTCTGCACGTCAGGGGTACCTTTTTGGGATACAACACCTAGGCCACGYGCGTTACCTTTACACAAAGTCTTTTAACAGGTGATATTTTGTCATATTACTTTGTTTTTGTCTGGGTTGATCAGGTTATTGCCTGGAATGAATTAACCTACGTTTTTTTTTTCTTTTTGTGTGTGGTGGAGTGAAAGTAAAATTAAATAGCAGTTTAATTTTATTTTATAAACAGCCTTTTTTAATGTGATAGTCTGATTTTAAACTATGTCAATATAATCCAACACTGACTAAACTGGTCTGTCTCTGTCTTTAGGAAAAGTGTATGGACAAACCCGGACCAAAGTTGGATTCCAGGACGGAAACGTGTTTCGTAAATTGCGTGGAGCGATTTATTGACACCAGCCAATTCATCCTTAATAGACTGGAGCAAACCCAGAGGAGCAAAGGTGCATTCTCAGAGTCGATGTTAGACTAAAAAAAAAAAAACCATTGACTGGAAGTTTGGAGGAAAAGGCACATGGTCATGGCTCGGAGAGGAGATGAATGATTCTGATGCTGCTGTCTGTTCAGTACTCTGAAGAAGTGTGCAACCAGCTGGGAAAGTGTTACCTTTGACTCAGGTGCCTGAGATTCAAACCACGTAGGGTTTCACTTGGTCTCTGCTGGACTATGAGGGTGGTTTGTATGCTGGCCGTCAGCTCATTGAATTAGGCTAAATTAACAAACTGTAAAACTAAGTGTCAACGTTTGAGTATCCTTGGAAAGATGCGTGCTTCTGGAATCTTGCCATCTGTTTTTAACAGGTACAAGGACTAAAGAGAGTATTGCTGATTAAATAAGCCTTCAATGTCCTGACTGAAGAGATGTGAACAACAGTTAAAAGATTCTGGACTGTAATTATGCAATAAACCAAATGCCAAATAAGCAACTCCATACTTTTTGAAAATGTATTTTAAGTATTCTTGTTACAAACATTATCMAACAGAGATACACTTACATTAAGAGAAAAAATGCTTTGCACATGTTGGGGTAATGAAATGAAACATTCTTTGGTGGGAACTATGTGTATAATACTGAGGTAACAGTTGGAAAATTGCCTTAACGTTAGCTGCTATAATTCATCTTTCTGATCAAGGTAAAAAGTGCAAAACTACACAGGATGTAGCTTTCAGAAACACAAGGCACAATTTGGCTTTTAGAGAACAAAGTTTTATCTTAAAAATGAAACTTAATACTGARAAATTCAAACAGAGCAACAAACATTTCCAGTGTCTTAACAGTTYTCTGTCTTGTTTTTCATTTTGAGTCAAAACTAAATGTGGATGCATCATAAGAACCAACAAACAGAATAAAAAAAAACAGCCWAAGTAGAAACAGTGTATAAATTACTGTGGGTGGATTTTAGATATTTCAGCGCACTGTATAAGAAACTTTATAACAGATTTAGTAAGCCTGCTTTTCTTTTAGTTGTGTGTCCATTAAAGCWTGAGACTTGGCACGTTTTGTTCCCTCCTTGGCGGCTTTGTCTCATCCTTCCAAATCCTGGTTTGGAAGAGCCACATAAGGCTGTTGGCCACACGGGAAACCTTGAGGGCCTCTTTTCAGATAAACGGGGAGGGAATCCCGGCTAAACGTAATGTCTTTGAAGGCATGAAGCAGAAAAATCCCTAAAATAATGGTGAGGAACCCACTAACTGTTCCCACTATCCCGTCAGTGGTCATCCGTAACCACTCCTTGAACAAGATGGCCGAGCAGGCCATGACGGACGTGGTGAAGAAGACGTAGTAAATGGGAGTGACGATGGAGGTGTTGAATATGTCGAGAGCTTTGTTCAGGTAGCTGATCTGTACGCTGATGCAAACCGCCAGGCAGATGACTAAGGACCAGAACAGGGGTTCCTTCAGCACGGCGGTCCCAGCAAACAGCTGCTTAATGCCAATCCCCAGGCCCTTCACGCAAGACACGGAGAGGGAGCCGATCACCGAACAGATCAGGATGTAGACCAGCACGTTCTTCTGTCCGAACCGCGGCGCCACGGCAAAGATTAGAACCAGACTGCTTCCCACCACGCACACCGCGAACACAATAAAACCTAGTGGGAGAATATAACCTGCAGTTAGTATACTGAAACAACGCTCCACAGTGTGGTTCATCAAACGACAAAAGACGTGGGCCCACCTGGGTCTTTCAGCTTGTTAGCCATGGCGCCAAGCGAGGCGACCTCTTCTTCCTGGGGGGCGTGGATCACCATAACCGTGGAGCCCAAGATGCAAAGCAGGCAGCCGATCTTCCCGTGAACATTCAACCGCTCATTTAGAAAGTAAGAAGACAGCACAGCGCTGGAAAAGAAAAATGTTTTTCACTTAAATAAAACAGGCAGATTTACRTTTATATTTTGTTTGCTTTGTGTTTAATGGAGCTTGTGTTATCCTTGACACACAAAATAAACATACWGAAAAACAGGAAATACAAAGGTCTCCACATGTAACTTATTTTCACTAGTGAAGGCTTTGAACACAACAATTAGCTTCTCAATTTCCCCGGATTCCATTTATTTGTAGTGGAAAGTGAAATTATTGTTAATGTGTAATTTTGTTAACAGTCGGGTGCCGTGTTCAGCAAATGAAATACCATAATATAGTCGAGAAAACAAACAAACCTCAAAACCTATTACCTGACAAGTACACTAAGAGCTCCAAGGGGGGTAACCAGCGTGGCCGGTGCAAACGCATACGCAGCAAAGTTAGCAGCTTCTCCGACTCCCACTGCAACACATCAAATTATTCGTCATTAGTGTTCACAGCTGGACAGGGTAAATTTATTTTAGTTCAGCCCACATGTGCAAATGTGCTCTTTCAGGGAGTGCGCGCATCAATGGTGTGAGTGGGAGCTGCATTTACAACAACGTCATCAACAAAAATACCAAACCCACGTGAGTTTTTCTTAATCAACAAAGACTCCAGTGTTTCTTGGTATGGCTGGTCCAAAGACGAACAAACAAACAAAAAGAAAAAAAAAAAACTATAATCACTCACTTGAAATAAGGCCGGCCCACCACAACCACTCTTTCAGGTAAGCATAGCCCCCTTGACCTGTAAGATACATGAAATGTTTCTTGAATCGTATTAACTTTTCAGGGAGTTTAGCTAGAAGGTCCTCAGATTCAACACCACTATAATATAACAATAAGTTCAAGCAACAAAACCCTGATTTTATATATAGATGAAAAAAAAACTGCTTACAACCTAGATGTGTTAATTCTACAATGGATTATAACTTTAGGATACACAAAATTAACTCAGCATTAGGAAGGTATGTTTTGTGTGTGGTTGATCATTGTATAAAAAAATTAATCTTACAGAGACCTTGGATAAATTTGAAGTTTAGATAAACCCTTGTCATATCTACAGCTGCAGTGTTTATTCTAAGAAGGTCATATTTTCCTTTAGAGTGAGATAGTTGCATGAAATATGATATAAATTGACTTTTTTTGACAATAAACAGCTGACTGAACAAAAGAACAACAGTAGAAATTTGGGTCATATTGCACACTGTATTTAGGCAAAAAAAGAAGCCAGTTTTTAAATCCATAAATTGCACTGAGTCCTAAAATTAAAGAGATTAAAGGCCCAACAATGCTTGAAGGAAGGCTAATTTCCTGCCACCTTACATGCAGTTTTAGAGATAATCTTGTGTCGAGGAAATGCTCTTGTCATTTCTTGGAAATAACGCTATGACACATCTCGTGATGTTGTGACCTGTCTCACTCAGTCGAGGTTGACTTTTGACTACCATCAAATTTTAGCTAAAGGTTATTAAAATTTTCTGTGCCATGTGTTTGTCAATGTTAAAGTTGTGGTGGCCATCCTGAATTGTGGTAACTCCAAAAAATAAATAAATAAAAAAATCAGTTATAGATGTACATTTGATGATGCAGTTTACACTCATCTACAGGCCAGTGGTCACTCTTTCAGGGATGAAGATGTTCTCATCCTTGATAGAGAGGAACGTTGGTTTGAGAGAGGAGTAAAGGAAGCCATCTTTGTGAAGAAAAACCGTCCACCATTAAACAGAGGTGGAGGCCTTCGTGTCCAGTTGTCTTCCACCTACAGTGCTGTTATTGCAAGTATGACTCCCACCCCTGTGAGCAAAAGGTGTAAATCAGGGCCCCAATGATACCAACACAAAGAGGGAGGGACAAAAACAAGGAGGCTTTGAACCCCCGCTTGCATTCACTACATTCACATAACACGACACGGGTCAGGTGATGGGGCACATGACCCTCTATGAACAATAGAGCCAATCAAGCCTATTGTTAGTCGATGGCCCTCTTTTGCATGTGACTAACCTGTTTGTCCATGTGGAGGCAGGGCTTATAAGGCTGAGTTCACCTGAAACTCATCAGACTGAAGAAGTCTCTTGGAGGAGAGATGAAACGTTTCACTAAAGAAGAACCCATCCAGAGGACCTACTTATTTTTTCTTTTTGATTCGATGATTACTTTCTGAACACTTAATTATAATCTAACCAGTGGTTTAGAACAGCGTTTCCCAAAGTTGGGGTCGGGACCCAAAGTGGGGTCCCAAAACATCAAGGTGGAGTCCTGAAAAGATT